GTTGGGGTCATGATAGGCGGTTATTTGTTTCTTTTTTTAAATTGAAAACATTCAAATTAAGTTCGTCGGCAAAGTACGCCGTACTGTCACGGGTTGGGGGTCTCGGGGCGAGTTCCTTGGAAGTACGGAGTAGAGTGCTTTCTAACCGAGGGGTGTGCGGGGAAAAAGGGCTTGGGATGGCGACATTGGAAGCGGATGGGCTCATGGGTGGCACTATACCTGTGTTGATTCTAGTCAAATCATGTTGACCAATACCACCCGGTGAGTCGCGGGAATTATTATTCTCGCTTGATGAGCCGACCGGGAAAGTTCCGAAGGCGCATCCGTGACCTGGCAATGTATAACGATAGATTCACAAAGTACGGAGTATCCAAGCGGCTGATGCTGTCTGTGCCCCATGATCTTTGCTGTTTTTGCTGTTTTTGCTCTTTTGGCCCTTTTCTTTCTTTTCCCCTCTGCACATCATTCATAGTCCACTCTATCCACCGGTAAAGCCCAGTAACGTGCAACCAAGGCACCAGTCGAATTGCGCTGGAGATATTCTCCATTCTCGGTAGTCGACCCAGATTGGATGGAAACCCGGACTAGAGATGGCTTGGCGATTCAAGTTGGGCTATCTTGGGATATGGAGTGACAGAGTCGAGCCCTAATCCATGTACCCGACCTCCGTACCCAGGAGATATACAACCCTGGACAGCGTTCGGTTAAAGCTCGGGAAACCAGCCAAAGCAAAAGCCAAACCTTGGACGGCGTCGAAAGCTAAAAAGCAAAAGAAAAGAGAAATTCGGGCCAACACATCCGATTCCATGTGGTCCCGGTGCACTTCCGAAGTCGATCATCAGGGCTTGTGCAGAGGGACGAGATCTTCGTGGACGTATCCTCTTTTTTCGCCCTCGTTTGCTATATACTCTATGTTAGCATTACTAGTCCGAAGTATACTAGATTAATTGTCTATGCACTCTGCACTAAATGGAAATGGGAGTTCATGGAAATACAACTACTGACTCGTTCATCCCAATCCACTGCCACCTCCACTGCCGATCTCGGGATCACTTGCTTGTCTTACCAGTCTAAGATGTACATCTGCGCTATAGAGAAGAGGAAATAGTCAAGTCTCGGCTCAGATCCGCTGAAGATTCCTTAACCATATATATGCGACGGAGTACGGAGCACGGAAGATCGTAATACTCTGCGTCGATCTATAGTTCGTTTTTTATTATTTTCTTTGCATTTCCCTTTTCTTTTCCTCTTTTTTTCCCTGGAGTTGATTTGACATTCCCCAATCTCCCTTTCTTCACAGGATTCTTTGATCTTCATCTGTCCCAACCTCGGCATTTACATACTCTATTGTGCCGGGCTTTAGGCTGCAAATCTTTTCTGGTTAATTTCTTAATTTCCTATTTTTCCTTTTCTATTTTGATCTCGACAATGGCTTTGCAGTCTGCATTCGAATAACACCTTTTTAAGGAAATCGGAATCTTGACGAAACTGTGGCGATAGTCCTTATCTTACGCGACGATTCTCACCACGTGGACTTTTAATTTGTTTCTCCCAGATTTCTCTATTTGACTAGAGAAATACATCCCAACATGCAGCCCTCTCATTTTCGTGGTAATCAGGGCTACGAACTCCCATCCGTGCAGTCGGTGACGTCGGGCGCATTCCCGGCTCCTGCGCTGCTCTCCGCTCCGCCGAGCAGGCCTGACAGCGGGATGCGAATGTCTCATCTACTGCAGCCGATGCCCCCAGCGGCGCCGGCGACATCCCCGTACCAGCGTTACTATGACTCCGCCTCGGGCTCCCCAGGCGAAACCACGCTTCCCGATGCGCCTTCAATGGGCTCAGGGCTGTACCAAACCAGCCCGGGGCATAGCCAACAGACCGCCGCGCAGCTACAGCAGAAGCGCGCGTATCGCCAGCGTAGAAAAGACCCCAGCTGCGATGCGTGTCGCGAGCGTAAGGTCAAATGCGACGCCTCGGAGTCGTCCAGTTGCACCGAATGTAACAATCGCAGGGTCCGCTGTCAGTTTACCAAAGAGACGAACCGTCGCATGTCGTCCATCAAGCAAGTCCAGGATCTGGAGAAGCAGTTGCAAACTACAAAACAGCAATTACAGCACCTGCAGACGGGCATGATGCGGCCGGATCGCATGGTCGATGTTGACGAGGGTGTCTCGCAGATGATTAAGTTGCCTGAGATTGAATATCGGCCGGTGCGCCGTTCGAGGGCGCCCATCCCACAGGATTTCTCCGACGTGCGGTCTAATCTCCGTGATTACGGCCAGGGCATCATGAAGGTGCCCACGCCGTATCGCCAACAGGGTGCAGAGTCATTGGTGACTAGGAATGCGCCGATCCTACCGGCGAAGAAGATAGCAGATCAACTACTGGCCCAGTATTTCAGTTGCATTCACTCGGTGCTTCCAGTGCTCCATTGGCCTATATTTATCGCAGAGTATGAGAAGGTTTATCGGATGGGGTCGTTGTTGGGTGTCTCGAATGAATGGGCGGCAGTGCTGTTTGGTGTATTTGCCTGCGGTGTCATCCACACAAACGACGAGGATCGGGAGGAGCAAGGGAAGAAGTACGTACGCACATCCTGTGGGATTATTGATGTCTGGCACGACGTCTTCAATTTGGATCGCGCTCGTGCGGCGCTGCTAGCAAGCATCTTTCTCTACGAAGTCAATTCGAAGTCGGCTAGTTGGGTGTGGATTGGCTCGGCAGTGCGTGTGGCTCAAGAGATTGGGCTGCACATCGACTCCGGACCGTGGCCTGCGGTCGAAGGAGAGATGCGGAAGCGTGTTTGGTGGGGGTTATACGCCTGGGACCGAATACTTGCGCTGGAAATGGGGAAGCCCGTATTGATCAACGATCAAGATTGTGATATCGATCTCCCATGTCCCGTGGACGAGCAATACATCACAGAAGGAGGCAAGATCCCAGACAACCAGCAGACCACGCCTTTGCTAGCTACGATTCACGTCGTCCGGTCCATCGGCCAACTCACACGCACCCTACGTTCAGCAACCATCAGCCCCGCCACCCTCGAGACCTTCGAACTCCACTTCAACACCTGCCTTGCAACATTCCCCTCTCAATTCCACCCCAAGACCGACGAAGACCTCGACCCCCGCTCTCTCGCCCCGGTAATCTACCTCCAAAACGCCCGCCTCCTCCTCCATCGCCACAACATCTCCCCCTTCTGTCCAGACATCGTCCGCACCTCCGCACTAGACTACTGCGTTTCGACAGCCCTCGACACAGCCAACATCCTCTCCCGCTGCATGCGCAACTACTCAGTACGCCCAAGACCACCTTGCATCTACGACCCCCACTCGCACTTCGCCTCTAGCGCCAGCGCCCTCCTCTGCACACACGTCTGGCGCTGCACGCTCTTCCTCCTCTTCCGCGGCGAGTACGGTGGCGCCCTCGTATGCGTGAAAGCGCTCTCAGCAGTCGGCGACGTGCGCACCGTCAACGCAGCCTGCGGGCGCTACATCTCCTTCTTCATGCGCAAATTACTCGGCTGCATCGCTAAGTCCAGTGCCTCAGTCCCTGATCTCGACCGCAACGAAGAAATGATGGCGTATGTCTCGGGCGATATGCAAGGGACCAGCGACGGCAGCTGGATATGGCACGGGTCCGAGACGGGGTCTCAATTGGAGGGGATGGGGGCCCCGATGCCGACATCCTCCTCGAACTATCGGACGGAGATGGATACGGATACAGATTGGGAGGGGTGGACGTGGATCGAGCAGTCTATAGGCGTTCTCTTTCAGGAGCAGAAACGGCAACAGGAGGAGAATTACAAGGCTTCTCTTGGGTCGGATTCGGCTTCTGGTAGGTCGAGTTCGGCGCATTCACGTATGACGATTGCTAGCATCATTTGAAGCTCTAGACCTGGTCTAGAGCTCGAAACTTTATATGGGCACTGTCACTTGCCTTTATATCTCCTTGCAAATATTGCATTGCCGATACCCATGCCCAAGTACTTGTTTACAGCCTTTGATTTTTATGTATATATCTCACGAACGGATCGGATTTCGACCGTTTCAGTTTGCATTTGCATGTCTTTTACTTATTAGCTTGATGAAACACTGCGCCTCAACATATCGACGAAGCTTGCGACATCCAAGACTACTTTACTTGTCGGTGACCTTGCTCTTTGTCTCGATGATTGGATTCAACACACTATCTTCAGGAAAGCTATATACCCAATGACCGAAGATATTCCTTTTCGAATTTCTATTTTCAACTTCTGCTTTCTTCCTCTCTCTTCTTGTGTCAGGTATTCAACGGTAGATTGCATAGTCAGGCTAGTTTAACATGGGCTGGTGTATTGGACCGGGTGCTGTGGTACATACAGAGTACTGCAATGTCCTCGGGTTCTTTTCAGCAATCTGGTATGGACGAATGAGCAAGAGGATCAGGCTTTCTCAAGTAATATTGTGTATAGGTGCAGAGATACCAAGCAATAATAGATATAGATATGTTAAGAATGAATTTCCAAAAAAAAAGAGGGTGACAACTCCCATGCCAGTACCCTATGCCTAGGCCACGCCAGCCGACATAGGTTGGAATGCATATGTTTATAATCGCGGACCCAGCAGATCGAACGCCGGCAGCCGGGGCTATCTGCATGTTTAATCCGCTAAGCCACTGGGGGGGAGGGTCGAAGAACAAGTGTTTGTCTTTAATTTATAGGAAGGAACCTGGGGAAACATGCTTCCGAAAAGGGAAAGTGGGTCTGTCACATGTTGATGCCTGAATATGTATCCGTTTCTGCCTGATGCTCATTGTACCCATTGCTCTTTCCGAATACATTCGAAATGAGAAGGAAAGAGCATTTCAATGGCAGCTGAGGCATTTTTTACTGAGTGACCGACCCCATAGAGGAGCAGCTCGTGGAGTTATGGCTAATATACTTCCTCACCTACGCTTTAAGACATGACTTTCAGGAAATTGATTTCAAACAAGCCTACATTATAACATAAAGATTAGTGACCTTGAGCCGGGCAAGCAGAACGATCCTCATCATCTTTGAAAGGCCAATTTCGCCACATTAGCTCTCGGTCTTTTTCCTCCTCACAGTGATCTACCATCGCCTGCCGATATTCTGAATTCCTGCGTGACGCTCTCTCAAAGTTCTCAGGTGTAGTTCCACCTTCTAGGTCGATACCGAGATCTTCTCTAATCGTTGTAAGCAAAGCCTGGGATTCGTTCCATTCTTCAGATTCCTCTTGTGATTTTTCCAGTTCTGTCTGTGAAAAAGAGACTGGGCAAGGATGCGAACTAATGGCATCCCAAGCCTTACGAGTAGTCATACCAATCAAAGCTGCACGTAGGTTAACGAGATCTGCGTCCCAGGGGTAGCCAGTTTGTTGAATCAGATATTGGCGCATATTCAAGTAAGGCTCTCGTATAACTTCAATGTGCTTGTCATTGTGTACACCAGTCGCAGCGGTATAATAGAGATTGATTTCTTCCATTCGATATTTCATAAGAGCTTTTGTCTGTTCTTCGGCGCTAAGGTCCTCCATATTTTCCGGAAGCGAAGGTTTGTGAAGCTTTTGCGATTGCGAATAATCGTGTTGGCAGAAATCTGGATAACCTGTTTGCATGAAAAATGGGAAGATAGTCGAAGCTTGCCAATCAATGACCCCGACAATCTCACTTGAACCAGGTGAAAGAAGTATGTTCGCAAAATTTAGGTCGGGATGCCTTAACACCGGGGAGCTGAAGCCCGGCTTATCTGGGATGAGATGAGGAGCCACCGAAATGAATTTTTCGAGAAGAGAGATGTGCTCTTCAGGCAGGATGTCGTAATCTGTGGGCATGAAGAGGTTTGTCCGCTGCCGGGGTTGCGCAAAATTCTTAAGCCATAGAATTTCTCGACGAGCCATGGATGTGACACAATCCTTAGGTTGTAGCCCTGCGATTTCGATATTAGCCTAGAAAGCAGATCACCGATGATGAAACATACAAGGACCACGGTCGACTTCTAGTTGACCTCTCTCATCACACCAGAATTCTCGCTTTGCAATGGGTCCTATACAGTACCCCTGTTCCTCGAGGGGAATGCTGTCGCAATTTTCGACATCGTGGCTGTGGTAAAGACTTCCATATCCCGGGAAGCGGAAGGAAAAAGTCTTGTGTTCCAAGCCTGCCACCTGTGTCATAACGTGCTTTACTTCTTCGGTAGTCAGAGACAGCCATCTCGTTGCAAGACTTTCACCTTGAACATATTCCATAATGATATATTCTGCGCCAACCGGGTTGCTTGCAGAGGTGGAATAGGCGAGTATCTTTGGGACAGGGAGACCAAGGACATTTCGGAGGAAATTGATTGTAGCAACTTCGCTAGCAGTGGTATAGTGCGGTGGGCCAGCAATAGACGTTGGGATTCGAGCAATGACTTGTTGTCCGTTGCTTGCTGTTAGGAGGAAGACTCTGTTGAAGCCACCCTCGGCGATTTTTTCGATGCGAGAACAACAGTCCTGCTGTATTGCTTTTCCTGCAACTCGCTGAAGCTCCGCTATATTGAATTTGACATATCGTGCACGCAGCTGTTCCTTTTCATTGAAACTATATATTGTCAGAGCTATATATGCTATATATCGTAGACAGGAGAGGTCAAATATACATCCATCTTGTAATAGTGTTGCTAAATAGCGATTCGTAACTGGGCGCGGACTGATCGTAAGAGCTGCGAGCCGTGGCCATGGTGAAGTGGGCCGGAAAATTATGTACGATTCTGCAAGGGCTCTTGGTAAATTTTCTCGCATTAGGCGTCTTTCCAAAGATGTAACGGAACATAATGTGTTGAGAGAAGTAGCAAGCAAGTTGCTGAAAGAAAGGGATACAGACCGAATAAAAGTGTCACGTCACGTGCCACTATCTTGGCGTTCTTTGCCAAGTTGTTGGGTGTTGTTGCGCTTGGCACGGTTACGCTGCGAAACTGTTTAGATTATCTTGTCCTCTACAATCCCGGATATGCCTTCCATCGCCGAGTATCGCTTGTCCTCTCCTCTTCCTACTAGCTGGTCATTAACCAAGAGTTCTATCTTTCAGCCTCGAGCCAACTCCCCGTATTGGCGAGGTCACAATGCAAGATGCCGATGGCGCCAAAGCTATCTTGTGTTATAGGGACAGAATCGAGGGCTTACTACATACTTTAACTCATTTTATAAATCACTCGGGAAAACAAAAGTTCAGTACATTGTTTTATCGTGCATAAGACATTGTCCATTCGATAGGCTGACATTTAGATCAAACGGAAAGTGCCACCTTAGTGCCACCACGCAGCTCACTCTAGCTATATAGAACATCATGACTACAGCCCTTCAGCCGCGGCAGCCATAATCTCCTTGAATTCCTCCAATGTGGCATCTTGTGGCACCTCAATTGTCGTGATCACCGCATGAAATCCATTCCTTCTGACCCAGTTCTGGATTGATCTTGACTCAGCCTGAGCTGCTGCTTGCCAATGAAAGACATTGGCCGTTCTTGTAGTTCCTGGCGCCGCCCCTGGCCGGGTGTCTAGAACTTGCCGTGTGCGATCCCTTTTGTCCCAATGGAATCCGATGTTCTTCAAATCGCGCTCCGTTGCGGGCCATGTAGGGTTTCCAGGAGCGGCGGTCGGGGTGGTGAACTTTTGATAAGCCACGTCAAGTTCTTGAGGACTCATCATAAACTCGATGGCCTTTTTGCCGGTTCTCCGGAGGCCGGTCATACTAATAAATAATTAGAAGCAAGAACGGCGGTCAAGGAACAGTACTTGGACGAGATAACACGGAATCGAAGCTTATACAGGAGGAATGGATCAGTTGCTTCAGACGGAATAGTATCTGAATATAGAACGTCTGATTCATTTATGATGTGTGCGAAACCTCGACTCTTATGTGTCAGTTTCGCGCTGGTATAAAATTCTCACATTATACCATCAATGCTTTCCAGGCACGGTCATTTTCATGAAAATCAATGATCGAGAGTTACACTTCAAAATAATTCTAAACAGCTGCCGGCAGCAGTTCTGTAGGGTTGTTCTATTGGTCAGAAGATTTGGGTCCGTTTCATCCCGCCAGGCCCAATTAGAGACTCGAGAACCACTGCCCGGCAGTAGTCCATAGCCTCGATTCTGGAGTTCCGAGATAGAGTCAAAGGATTTGTGTCTTGAGGCGCAGAAGCTTACGATGATTTGTTACGAGGCATATTTGCGTGATCGCGTTGCAGTCGTACTTTAGCATTGAATCACGTCTTCGTGGATGGAAGATGCTACCATTTCCCAACTGTGTCAATAGATTCCTTCAGTTTATTTCCTCAAACATATGCTTTTGCTTTCCCAAGTGATTTATAAAACCATTGAACTATATTCCCAAAACATTAATGACGGACTATCGTCGCCAGGCTTCAATGTTAGTTTTTGCTTTTTGAGGTATATCATGTGGTCACAAACTAAACCATACATCTCTCTATTAACTGCCTCGCCTTGCTGACCTTGGTAGTATGAGGGTTAAAGCTGTCTCGGTTCTCAGTCTTCATGTCGGTAATGCAACATAAGTGATGTACTGCCAGGTGGCGGCATGTTAAATATGTCTTAACTCGACTGAAACGATAGGTGTAACCTACCTGTATCTAGCAAGTATTTAGACTGTAGGCTGAGTTGGCGGTGAATAGCGTGGAGGAAAATAGCCCACAGAAGGAGAAAGAATATAAGATTCACAAGATAGATACGGTCTACAAAGCAGGGCACCGTCGGGAAACATACCGGAACGGACACACAATTAATTAGGATTCATCACACAACCACGGCTAACCATTTTTGGGACGTATAAGGTAGGGAGGTGTGAATGTGCCCCAAATAGATCATGTATCCCGGGTCTGGGTAAACTAGTCCTGGTACGAAGTCCGCACTCGAGCCCGCTACTCGCCCCGATTTTTCACTCCCAGGCTAGTAAAGGTTCTGCCGCTGCTCGGGGAATAGGTCGCCGAGTATCGGTGGGTAGAGGAAATGCTCAAGTTGTGGGAAATTTGCTTGACCCTTGCGAAAAATAGAATCTATATAAGACGGAATCTATCAATGACTGTACAATCATACCCCAGCTGGGCAGCTAGCTACTTATTTCCTTACTCAATAGTAAGTCACCTCGTCTCCATACAAAGTGGATCCAGTACCAGGCTGCTTCACGATACCAGCTTCCACCAACTCATTGATCAGGTTGAAGACCATCAGATCACAGCCGTGAGGTGCGAGGAAATCCACCGCGACAGGCAGATATTCCTGCTTCAGGGTAATGGTGGAGTTGTAGAGCGCTTGGCCGACTAAATTATAATTGTCATTAGTTATACAGTCCTTGTTCCAGTGATATGGGGTTGAACCTACTTGGAACGACCATATCGGGCACACCAGCGAAGTTGGCGATACGAGATGTACCGAATCCTGCCGGGACACCTGGCATACTATATGATACAACGGATTAGCAAACAGTCCATCAAATATCCTAGAATGTCGGAAAGTACAAGCACATACCTCCGGTAAACATTGCGGTAGGTTGGTGTCGCTTCCGCTCCAATGTAAAGAATCAGGCTGTCTGAGCAAGTCTCCTCGTCGAATACCTGGGCAGTTGTGTTCCACCAGGTAGAGAATATGTTCTTGTGTTCGATTTCGGTCTCCAGTTGCGAGTCCGGGTATCCAAGTCCCCAATTCCAACGGGACAGAGGCACGGGGTTGATAAAGGGCTTGCGACCTCCATTGGCAGCCGCGTAGTCTGCATACAGCGGTGCGCCAATGAGGGGATACTGCTGCTTCGAAATGAGGATAGGGTAAGTGAGAGGCAACATGGTGTCGAGGGTCGCATTGGCGGCAACAGTCGAAGGCTTGGTGGATTCCCAGAGAGCATCGTAATCAAATGCGGAAACATTCGCACCACCCAAGAAAGACGACAGCTTGTCGACGAAATCAATCAAAAGGCCCTCAGCTGGGGTCGATGCATTAGTTGGGAACTGGATCGTCTTGATAGACTTGGGGTACTTGGTATAGGACTTCAGGCCTGCATCCTTGTACATCACCTCCCCAGCAGTGCGCCACAGCTGCACATCTCTTGTCAAGAATCCGGCCGTGTCCAAAAGGGGGGACATGGGCATAACATTATCCAACGAGACCAAGTTCCACGAGGGCCTGTTGCCGAAGCATCCATTCACCTGCGAAGGGTTGCGAATTGAGCCTCCGGTATCACTTCCAATTGCCAAATCCAGCCAGTCATAAGATCCAATACCGGAGCCAGGACCGGACGAAGATGAGCTAGGATCTTGGTATCCGTCACCGCGGGCGTTGAAGGGGGAGTGGTAATCAACCCAATCATCGGTGGCGCTCTCACCGTTGGCAAACTGACTGGTCTTCATCTTTCCGACAATGATGGCGCCTGCATCAATGAGGGATTGAACTGCAGGGCCAGTAGCGTTAGCGGCTGGGTACGTTTCATAGTAAGCGCGGTTGCCACAGCCGGTTTTGACGCCCTTGATATCATAAATATCCTTGACACCGAGACGAACCTATGAGTGAAAGATAGTCAGTATTGCATTTCTCTTGCATAACAGACGAGTGGAATACATACACCAGCCAAAGGCTTATCGGCTGTCTTGGTATAATACAGCCGCGAAGGAACACCAATGGTCAACGACGCATAGCCCTGCAAGCTTGCCGGCAAAACATCATATGTATTATCACCAACAGAGACCAATCCCTGGGTGAAAGAGCCCATAACATCGGAATACAACCGATAAGCTTCAAAAATGGCTCCACTGGATGGATCCAAGAAATATGGACCAGCAGGCAGGGGCGACGACGAGGTCAATGTCTTTGATTTCTTGGTATCATATGCAGATGCATATCCCAAGATTTTAGGGCCCCACGAAGAATGGGTTGACACATTCTCCGAGGGACGCTTGGAGGTACCGTTATACTGGACGTAGATGTTGTCGAGGAAGCCAGTGTTGAAGACATCGTCAGCAGACTCGTAGCTGCTTACCAAGGAATCAAGGATCGAGCTTGTCAGCTTCACGGCATCGCTCCGAATGACCGTCAGAGGCTGCAAGCCATTGAGCTTGCTGAACACGTGCGAATCGGCTTTCAGGGTGGCTACTACTGTAGGAGGAATGTAATAGGTGTTTCCATTGAGCTCCACGGTTTGACCCTTCGAGGTGATTGTCGCGATGGCGGTGGTGGAAAGTGACAGCAGGGCCGACAACAGAGCCGGTAGCCCATAGGAACTAGGAGGAGAGACCATGATGATCAGCTAAAGATTGATAGTCTTCAAAAGGTACTTTTATCAAAAGCCGGGACATAATCTGCCATATATATACGTTCCACTACCGCTTATTATTTGTCGCATTGCTATCGAGGACTTCCAGTGATAAGGATCTAGTGAAAAGGTGGCCAATTTAGGGTACCGGACTTTACTGGATCAAAATGGACTAGCCAGGAGATTAATTCTCTTAGTACAATATACGTCTCTTATCTTTCCCAGAGCTATATTTCCGCAATTCACTGATAAGTCGAGTCACAGTTGGAGGTTTCATAGTCGCCATTGGTTCGGGGAAACAAGCTTACCCCAATAAGATCCACACCCACGTTTTCGTGGCTGGTATGTAGCATTTTGTGAATGTTGTACCTTTCGTACCTTTTGTACCTTTTGCATACTGATGCCATATAAAAGATACCCGATCGGAAACTTTATGATCGAGGGAGAAGTTATGATTGACTGGGGCGTACCAAACCCGCTTACGCTACAACTTTGCGTTCGGGAATCCGATCGTATCCGGTGCTATCTATCTACCTGCCTGTTTTGCAGGCAGATCCAGCCACAATCATAGCCCTTAGTCTTCTAGAAACCGATTGTGACATTCGATGGGGGAGTGGGCTATCAGGCATTAGTATTTTTCTAGCGTTCCTTAGTTCAGAACACCCCCCTTTCAGTACAAACAACCCCGCGTCTAAATATTCTGCCGCCCCTAACTGAAAGTTGAATTACCGCCTTCCTAATCAGGTGCGACCCTAGATTCTGTATAGATTCTCACTTCTATCTTCAAAAACCCTGCGTTTTAATCGCAATATTTTACCTAATTCCTAGAAGGAATGAAGCAATTGATGAAGATCGATGAAGTAGTTGATGAAGTAGTTGGCAATGAAGTTGAAATAACTACTGAAGTGTTTTCGATATCAAACGACATATTCCCAATTCTTCTGCTTTGAGTTTGCGGTGCGATAGTCCCTTTGCTGCAATGGAAGTAGGCATCAAGGGGCCGAATATATAAGCTGGACTCCGTTCCTGTAAAGGTTAATTAATCAATCAATCTAGCGTCATCTACCTGGCTGTCACTTGTTACATTATCAACAAGACCTTTCAATATTAAATCATAAGGTCTTAGTTAGGTATGCGTTATATGACCAAGTTTTTTATCACTTGGATGCTAGAATCATAGCGTTTTAATGTCCCATCATATGACCACGTCCACCTTTCTCTATCATTATGGCATCCAAAACATATACTGGATACGGTCACTCGCGTCCTTCGGAGCTATTTCGCTCATGCGCTGGCAATCGAGATGTCAAAAAGAGAGAGGGGGAAGAATAGAAGATACGTGGAGGAGAGGAAAATAAATGACGTATGGAGGAGAGTTATTTACTACGACGTGGCATCGCACTAACTGGAGGCCTAAGGTCACCGAGATTCCTAGTATTTTCTTTGAATCCTTAGACTCCATCTACCCTATCACAAAAATCGCGCATCCCTCGATGAGACTACTAACTTAGCAAGGTCAAAGGATCAAGCTAATGCCATGGTAACACTAAGCCACGTAGATCGACGGCCCGATCTATACCTGAGCGATGATACACCCTGGATCTCTACGGAAGAGTGGATTAACTTCCCCACTGAGACTCTGGCGATGTCCAGGTACATTTCTCCATGCACTAGCAGGGATGCAGGGTATCTATTTTGGGAATAGGCAGATGCATTTATCGCAACTTTTCGAGGAATCAGAGAAGTTTATAAGAATCGAAGATCCGCACTATAACCCGTAGCCTTCGAAGCGTCCAACCCGGTCTGTCAAACTCGTTCTCTCTGATCGATAGGTTATTCTCTCAGAATGATGGCACTCGTGACATCCCTGGATACACTTATGTGCTCGATCGGCACTTTCATCCTCGACTCACTGCATGCTGCGCCTTTCCAAACTTTCGCCATCTTCCTCCTCCTTCAGTTCCTTCTCGCCCCGACCGTCATAACCTTGGTGTGCAGATGGTGCGGCCTAGCACCTGGCACAGACAACGAGTCGCAAAGGACTTGCCCAACGCGCGACGGAAGCGGGGTTGTTGATGTGACGCAAGACAAATCATCACAGACCGAAGCTCACTGAATTTTGAGATTCAAATCGTCTATTCTTGAGTCAAGCAAAATTCAGCGAAAATTCCCTCAACTCAAACAAAACAGACACAGCCAATTTAGCCGATTCATCCACAAGGACAAGACTGATCCATTGTATCAATACATTCCCAACTCGAAATATGCTTTCTGCTTTTCGCGCTTTCTGGTCATGCTGAAGGGCTGTTATTCATGTCTTTATCCATTGCTCTGAGAAACAGAATATATAATTCCTTGTCTTTCTTGTTTCAAACGTAAAGCCAGGCACGCCCTCTTGTATCTATGTGCGCTTCTCTCTTAATCCCATTGGAAGATGAATCGGCTTACCAAGAAGAAAGTCACAGATTATAATACACCGAGATGAATTTGGAACTCCATTTGTTCTCTGAGCAACTTTTTATACGTATATGTGTACATTTCCTCTTTTGAAAGAAAGCCTTAGACCTATCTCAAAAGCCTTTCTACCTTCTTCTCTACTTACAGTGCTAGCTAAAGATGATATTGGACTATATTATCACGGGCTTTGCAGTTATCCTGATTGCGTTCACCATCATTGAGACTTATTTATGGGCTATTGCTCGATTGAGAAGCATAAGACTGTCTGCCAAGTGAAGATGACGCTAGGTCTACTCAGCATCCTGACCTGCGATGGTCCTGTTTTGGAAACCTGCAGGTCAACGAGACATCAGCCAGTTATTCAAAGTCCTCGCCACTGGTCCTATGCAATGTATCTCTACTTTTAAGTCTGGACAAATGTCCATTGTCGTGGACCGAATAGGGAGGTATGGCAGTCACGCAGGTCAGATTGATTTCATTTTTGACTAATTACGGTTCTCGATAACTTGTTATTGGCAGAAGTACATTGATATTTTCCTTTAGTCGAGGATAGGCATCTATTGACGACATCAATGTCACCCATCTATCCGCGAGAATGGTGCGAAAACGTGGATTCATTGCAGTGCCACAAGATGGCTTGACAAATTCCATGGCAAGTCTACGCTTCAGTCTAGATTCTTATCACACGAGCTCAGAGTAAGAAATAAGATGCAAACTGCGCCTTTATCGAAGCTCTAGTTGATCAAATTCTACATGTATAATTGTAATTCGGACCTTCGAATTTCCTTTTTTAGTTGTTTTCCATTTTGGGTTTAGCGCCCAATTCCGTGTTGGTGGGCTTGGCACACTCCGTGTTCTACTCCGTACTCCGTACTCCGTGGTTACTTATGATTGATCACTATTTCATAAGCTTGCACAAAGAAGTCGTAATAGCTCGAAAAGGGGCAAAGACAAGTCCTAACTAAATATATGTTTTTCTCGGCTGGAGCGCTACTAATGCAAAAAATAAAGGCACCCGGGTAGACGGGAGATCCACCTTGGAATATACAACCCAACCAGCGAGAACAACGGCAGGTGATCTAAACGTCTGTGCGTGAGAGAAGAAAAAAAGAAAGAAAATCGGCTTTGCCGACCTGACGGGGCGATTGTCAAATCCCCCGTCGCCTTGCATTGGTTTGTACTTTAATTGCTGTGATCCATATCCAGGATGAACGGTTCAAGGATTCCAGGATTGGAAGATGCAGTCGAGGTCCAGACTGGGCCCGGTCCAGACTCTACACAGGTCTTAGATCAAGTCTAGCTGGAGGCATTGATTGGCCCGTGTGGACGTACTGGATTAGGAACTAGTTTATGTACGGAGTACGGAGTACTCCGTAACAAACAAAAGGATTATATGCGGAGTACGAGGCATGTAATACTATGTACAGCATTTCGCACTCGTCTACGAGGTAGTTAAGAATGAAATGCGCAAACAAGTTGCGAAGATCATAAGCAGTGGCAAATATTTATGCTTTGAAGATCCAATCATGGTTATAATAGCCTGTCGGAATAGCGACAGGGGCATTAGGGCTTCGAAGCTATGACGGAGAAGGCGAAAATAAAAAGCTAATAGGAAAATCTTCATGTCAAGAATCAAAGCCGAGACCCGGGAAATGGAAGAACTTGCGTACTCCTGTAGGAGGGTCCGGCCCAAACTATAAGAATAATATCGGCAAACGCGCTTTGCGCGAAAGGGGGGATGTGCGGTTACAGCGGGAACCCCAGATGGAGTCTGTGGAGCCTCTTAAAAGGGTATGTTGGTAAATTGTGGCATGGTGCGACAGCATTTACTTGAAAATTCTGTTTTAGTCTTCTTTTATTGTGTTTATTTTTGGTGTTAGTGTGTTAGTGTGTGTTAGTGTAGTTATTCTCGGTGTCTGATTCGATGCAATGACTTTGTTCCAACCCAAAGCCAAGGAAAAACGAGGTCCAGTCATCCTAGTATCTTAAATCGGGGCGGATGTGACGAAGAAAGGCAAAAAAAGCCCCTTGATATCCACTCCATCCACGAGAGGCATGACGATGATACGTCAGACTAAACTCCATGTGCCCATCTACCTAGCTCGGAGGTAATGTGCACCTGAACTGGAACGAATCCCCGGCTCATCCCCGGGCCACTCAGACCCAATATGCTAGTACTCCGTACTCCGTACTCCGTAGACTCTTCCAAGACGGCAATTATTAATAGCTGAGGCCGGACCTGCGTGACCCCAGACCAAACATGCCGGTACTCTCGGAGTTTGGGTACGGACACAAACATTAGCTGGCAAGCGCCTTACGCGGTTCAAATCAACTCCTGGACATTGCCTCTCCGATGATATCGGGAGCCTACATAGTAAATTCTTTCGTGCGAGACTAGTTTTTTCTTCCGAGTCGGCAAGTCCTGGGCGGCTGGTTCATGAGGCGCACGGACGGTATACGAGCTTGACGATTGTTTGAAGCTAAAGACGGCATTCTGTGTCTAGATCGTAGGGGCCCTAGCTAGGGAGTTGGTCCGAGAAACTATGGGCCGAGTCGTCTCCAAGCGCTCTTGTCCGACTGGTAAGGGAGATATCATCGACCAGTGAGAGATGGTTTGGTTGTAATCATCCCCACTCCCACAACACTCAGAGCTGATTGTTTATGCACAGCCCTGACTGTACTTTTGAAAAATAAAACAAATATCATGATTTTTAAAAAAGGTCTGAGATCATGTGGCTGGCAGTACTCCCCGGTGAACTCTGACTTTTTTTTGCGGGGAATCCCTGGGCGTATCACAGCAGTTCCGCAGGCACAACTTCGCTGAATGAGGCATGTGGAATGCAGCTGCCATACCTGGGAGCTATCCTTTTTTTTTTAGCTAAGACTAGTGAAGCTGACTTAGAATTATAGTCTGGTGATCTTCTATTGTTGCCTGTTTCCGATGGTGACTTCATAGCCCGTCTTGAAATTATATTTATATATTCTAGTCTTGGTCATAGTCTATGATATTCATCTTATTTTCTATTTCGCTTTGCCTTCCTTTGACATTGAGCGTTCTTGATTAGTTTTATTTCCAAAAGAAAACAGTTCGATCTATACGTGGAACCTTAATGAGAAAAAGTATGGCCACCTTCTCACTAGTTGCGATTCCAATTTTCGTCTTTCTTTTCGCAGTTAGACACCAAAGACAACTGCTCCAGTGGTTATCACAAAAATTGAAAGGGAAACATTGCTCAAAAAATGTCTCCAACCCATCCGACGTCAAGCGTATGGCACCATACCCAGCGCAGCCTATCAGAGGCAGAGAACGATACCGTGTAATGATGGACATTCGCAAACTCGACGCCCAGAATTGGCTCACCCTGGACAAGAACTATATAGACGAACACCGGGTCCGGACCCAATTGCTGCACGAGAAAAGAGAAGAGGTCATTCGCTGTTTGCCCGAGTCAATTGAACCGTGCCAAGAGGCATTGGAGGAAGTTTCAGACTTTCTCTGCGAGAGATTTCCAAATATGTTTGAAATGTCAATTCAAAATGGTCGAAAGGTCGTCGACAATCGTATGACAGGCGATAAATTCACTGTCAGCGGGCGCGACCCCAACGAGGGATCAACCGAGGCACTCGAGGCCGCTGTGCGTCTTACGATGGAGGATCTCAGTATTCTGATCATGAACAAGGAAGGGGAATTCTACCTGTATGTTCAAATTCGCATAATACCAATTTGCCAACCCTAACACCAGCACAGGGCAGCTAGCGCCAGCCTCTTCCCAACGGGGTGGACAGTGAATCAGAGAATTGGCTGGACCATCTCTCAACTGCATGGCCCTGTTCCACTATGGCACCAACAAGTCGCCAACTCCGTCAGCAAGTAAGTGACCTCAAATCAGAACAGGCAGAATGACCATACAGAGAAACAAGAAACAAGAAACTAACCCTACTCCCCAGATTCCTCGCCCGCTTAACTCCAACATCTCCAATGGAACGCTCAAATTACTTCGTAGAAGTCAAGGAACCAAACGAGAACCTGACCGACATCCTCTATCGGCCCAACTCCCTCTGTGAGAAAAAGCTGAGCAGCCCATCGCCATCAGATATCCTGATCCGTCGCGAGAGACAGACTTTCCGTCGTCTGCCGCGCACGGGGGCGATCGTCTTTGGTGTCAAGACATATCTCACGCCGTTGGATGAGCTGCCAATGGCTGAGCTGGATAATCTGGCCAAGGAGATGAAAAGTTGGCCTGATTATGTGGGTGAGTATAAGGGGAGAGATGTTTGGGGCGCTAAGGTTTTGGAATACTACCGGAAACGGGTTGAGGGTGAAAAGACGGGAAATAATGAGGAAAGTGAGAAAGATGAGGTTTGTACTTTGTAGGATATCTTTGTTTTCTGTTTGTTCGCATTTTGGCTCTGGAAGATCAAAATTGGGTCGGCTTTTTGTTTCACGCAAAAGTTGTTTTGTGTGTTTTCTACTTTCGCGTTTCTTGCGTTCAAATGTTTTGGGTTTGTTAACTAGGGAGACTGTTTGGGCGGTTCGGCGAAGACAAGAGACAATCGTTCTATTGGATTATAATATGCTCATGCAGTGAAGCTATAACTAAGAATGTCCAGCTTCAATTCAAGAAAAACCACAGAAAGTCGAGGGAACTAAGCCCAAATCTATAAATGAAGATATGTAAAAGAATGAAAAATGATAGGAGAGAACTCCTTCAAGGTAGGGTATAGCACAAGCTCTTAAATCTTCGACTTTGGCGGGTCGTCTTGCTTTAATCGCACAACACCCTATGATCGAGTTAGCACTAAGCTCCAGAATAGAAAAACAAATACATACCTCTTGCATGCAAGTAGCAATAAGCAGTCCATCCTTCGACCAGATCTGCTGAATAGCCAAGCCTCGTCCTTCGCCAGCCCACGGACTCTCCATCTCCGTCAACATCCACTCATCGGCACGGAATGCACGGGGATTGTGGAAGTAAATTGAGTGGTCCAGGCTGACCATCATTCCAACCTCCTTATGATCTACCTCCTTTATGCCATTCGTGGCCCTGTTCAAAGCCCCTTCCAAACGACGACGCAATTCCGCAGCCTCCTCTTCCTTCAACTCCTTCAGAGCTCGCGTGATATCCTCATCGTCGAGATCAGACGGGTTCTTAAGTGCGTTCAAAAGCTTCTCGAGTTCGGCCGGAGAGGAAAATCGCGGAATATCGTGAACGAGGGAGATGGTACCGATGAAATAGCTGTCGGTGATATAGGCCAGCGCCGACAGGTGTGCCTGGTAACCACCCTGTTCGGAGATTGCGCCGCGGGCGCGAATGTGTCGTCGGACCTTCTTATCTTCTGGGTTTGGGGATGTGCCTATTTGATTCCGACGGCCATTAGTACAACGCGCACAGCATGCCGCTTCCGAAAGACGTACGGTTCAAAATTCCCGCTTTCCTTGATTCAAACGGACCGCTGCCCGCATGGCTGAGGGCTTCCAAACTGCCCGGCTCGGCCTCTTCTGGCAATGGGACGTTTGGCTTCGGTACGGCGTGGTGAACGGTCTTCTTGCCACCGCTGCCGACCCGGCTGAAGCTCAGCGTGGTGGTGAAGATCGGTCGCCCCCGTTGCCGCGCCTGCACGGTTCGGGTCACAAAGCTCCTCCCATCGCGTACCCGTTCGACATGGTATAAAATTGGGATCTCGGAGTCTCCGGCAAGCACAAAGTAGCAGTGCATGCTGTGGACGGCGTAGTCAGCGGGGACGGTCAGCATGGCTGCTGATAGGGACTGCGCAATCGCGGCACCGCCGTAGATGCCTCGAGCTCCGGGGGATGCCATAGCGGGCGGGTATTGGTGAAGACATCCTAGACCGAGAGTTCTCTGTTAGAATATGACTATTCGCGAAGGATTGAGGGATGCCATACTGGGCCGAGGTCCGCCACTGGCGTCAGATCGAGTACATTCTCGATAAGAGCTTTGGAATGATCCTGCGCGGGCGGATCGAAAAGCGTCACGCGTTTTGACATATTTGTTTTCAAGAGGGATCAATGACAGGAGGTTAAATGTCCCGGTGGATTTCAGGGATGATGGTTCCCTGGACGTTTAAATGCGGTCGACCGGCGGAAAAAAAGCCGAGGTCCAAGTGATCAACCGGGGTTTTCTACATTGGATTGTACACATTGTGCAGCTACACATGCAAGAAATAATACATTATTCGATCACATTCACATTTCACATTCTTTTCTTTTCATATACATCCGATATTCCCTACGCTGTAGCATCCTTCAAGGAGTCAAACGACTCCAGTCCTTCTGTGCTGTCTCATCCCCAGGTAAATCAAAGCGATAAGTGTTTCGCACAAGATCGGGCGATGGTGCGCTAGTATTCCGTTCACCCAACAAGCGAAGTAACTGGCGACGTTGCATTTCTTCGTCGGTGAGTAGCGGCATGTCTTCCTCCACTCGATTACGCCCATACTCTCGATATATCAAGATCCCCGCAAGAGCGTAACACGCCGAGAAAGCAGTGGGTAGGCAGATGTTTACAATCTGCAAGGTATTCATCTGCAGGCTTTGCCCGTGGATGTGGAATAGGATATTCAGGAGCGCGAGCAGATTTATCGTCGAGTATGGGCTGCAATTGTTAGCCTGTAGGCGATCGAGAGACGCAGCTTTCATTGACACCTACATGAAGATTGAGTGGAGGAGGAACATCGTTTGATGGCGCTGGGCGAAGGCAATCAAGGCAGATACACCGTAAGATGTACCAACAAACACAAATGCAGTAACAGTAGATACTGTAGCATTGATTCGCAACTCATGGGGAGGGGAACCGACTACCACAGCCAGCATCATATATCTACTCACAGCAACTATAGTCAGAGACCTCCGATTCTGAAGTCAAGCTCATATCTCGTGATATCTAACTCACCCGATTAGCTGTACCGCTGAAAAGCAAGCTGCTACTACCTTCCATAGCCATGGGACGTCAGTCGCATTAGTCCGGAGTAGGGTCTGTCTAGAGGTAGACCAAACGGCCTCGTATAGAGTAGCCAGCATACTAACGATTATGCCAACGCAACTAACGAATGGCAGTAGTAGAGATGCAGGACCGGGAGGTAAGAAAAATACAAATAGCGACAGTCAAGAAGTTGGATTCACCTTAGAAGAGACAATTGATCAATGAGTGAGTTCAAGGAGGATTGGATGCAGAACCGCAGCTAAAATCTGTGACCCCTCTCGGAGGCTCATCATCTAGGGAAACCTACATCACTAGTCTCAAGGCTAGCAACGATCTTACATCTCCCAGGTCGCACACACAATGTCCATATAAATAAGATGTTTCATAAAAATTCGGAACGAAATGCCCGGTTACCTATATATATCCTTGCAAGGCAACGCTGTTGGGTGACCTAAATTCACTACTGCTCCGTGTTGTATGCGTAACTACAAAATGCCGAGGCTTATCAACATTTCAACACAGCGATTCTATTCAGACAAAATAAGTTCTGATCTAACGGTATGCAAGTACCCGTGGCCCTATTTATTACTCTCACTTGGTTCTTATGTAAAGACCCGCCAGGCCCTATGATTCAAGAATAGAAAAGGGAATACCGAAGTAGCTGCCCATGATCCGAAATGTACTTATTCAATTTCATAACTGGAAGTATGCAGGAAAGAAAAAAGAGAGGTTCGGAACTTTTGTCCCGAGTCAGATGAAAACTTACGTTCTCATTCAATCGCCCTAACAAAGACAAAAGTACTTGTTTAGTGGGGTGATATCTGTCCAATCTCATGTTTGACACAAATCCTACAACACTCTTAGAAGCACAATCTACCCTAGATTCTATTGCACAACTCTAGCAAAACCTCTATTCTACATAGAGTACAGATATTCAGTGTATCGCTTGAGATAGAAGATGTTTCCACAGAGCTGAAGCGAGAAGATAAAAGCCTGAGGATGGATTTCCGAGCCAGGGTTACATGTTGAAAGTGCTGATCCTCCTGCTACAAGTCCAGTCACTTTTCACACCAGTATCTTTCACGATGACAACTTACAGGTTGTATTATCGTCGTCGTGATGAAGATAGACTGTGGGAATACTGTTGACCTTGCAACAGATGGTTGAAGCTTGACCTGCTCTAAATTGGCCTGACAAAATTCATTCATATATTTTACGAACCGCTTCTGAAGACCTTGGTTTAATGTAAGCGGGTAGAGATCAGACATAAGAGGGAAAATACCTATCGTACCTTTGGGTACCTTTTTGTGATTAGTTGAAACGAGCTCGGGAGCTTTGACACCGCTGAATAGATTGATGCTCACCTCTAATACCTGCTTCCTATCAGTTGGAATGCCTTGAGTAGAGGCTCTTCGGGCTCTTCCAGACCCCCTTCCATAACGGAGATTAGGTCCTCAATCATTCTTTGGGCCATAACTTGATCATTTTTCAATGCGCCACTATCAAAGCCGGACAGATTCCCAGAGAGTCATGGTGCACCGTCGTTGATGAAAATGTCAAAGTGTGGAGATATCAAAAGGTGAAGCTGTCGTGGTTGAATTCGAAGGTTTCTCGAATAGCTATCCTTAATTGGTATGGGAATATGTATATGGCTTTGTTTTTGACGAATCTGGATGTATCTTTCGGGCGTATTCGAGATATCTCTAGGGCTATATACCTAGCTAATACCTATCAAGTACCATGCCATGCTAGCATTGACTTTTGTGGCTATTCTCTTTGTATTGTTTCAGGTCTGCTGCGAGCACGCAACTCTACCTAAGCCAGTTATCATTAAGTGAAGACGGACTTCTTATCGAGATATTAGAAGTCTAATTACTTCTAAGGTTGAGGAGGCTACTAGAAGATTAAGTCATTACCCAACCTTTTAGGTGTCGGACCTTGGGAGGTGTAAGCTGACATCACTATGGATAAATTTTATTAGACCAAGCAAAAACCTTTAAGAAACATCCTTCACCCTCAAATTCAGATAATACGTTTAAATATCAGAGATGCCATTTTCTTTCCCCCGTCGTAAAAGAGAACCGAGCCGGGATCGAGTACATAGAAAAGTCGGAATCATGAGGGGCGATAAAGACAGTTGGGAAGTCGGTCTCGAACGATCTGGGGAGATAAATATTCTCCAAAGATATCGCTTAAGTGAATACTGGACGCTGATCAGAAGAGATAACACTGGGCCTCCTTTTATCTCACATAAGCTTCTCTTTGTAGAGGAAGACCTCCGGGAAATTGTTCAAGAGGAGATATCTATCAAAGAGGGAGCCGATTTGAACAAAGATGCCAAAGAGAGACTTGATGCTTTAAATGCCAGATACTGGCTCTTAGAGCAAAAGTGGTGGCATTATCATTCCTGTCTGGCAGATGGGTATCAGCTAAGAGCGTTTGAGCTATGGCGGTCCCATCCCAAATGGTATATGCACCGCGTGCTTGTTGAAGATTGTGCTAGCCGGCATGGGTGCTGTGCTCGTGGATGTGGGTGTTGTCTTGGCCGCAATATTGATCCCACGCGCCGTCTTGGAGTTGGACATTGTACTTTTGAATGCGGATGTTGTCGCAGAGCTCGAGGCTTTGACGTTTCTGAAGAAGACAAAAAATTGCTGAAAGAACAGTGTCGCGAAGAAATAAGCAAACTTGCTAAGCACCGGATCACGCGAGTCGCCATATGGGGGCTTGTCGGTGATAGCTATGAGAGCCCGTTTGATATGATTGATGCACCACCAAGCTACGAGCAGATTGCGAAAGACAAGGCTTCCACAAAAAAGAAGGATAAGACTCGCTGACTGGCTTCAATCATGGATATTGCTGCATCTTGCTCACTATACTGTTGCTGTGTACCTACCCGATTAAGCTCTTACATCACATTGCAGGCTCATACCTTCCCTACAAGCCATTGCTTCCCCTGTAGTCTACAAAACAATCTCGTAGCACACGTAAGAAATTCACCTTCACATCATTTTGCTACATAATAGCTATCTTCAAGATGACTCTGTTAAGCCTTTTGTTATTGTCTTGTTTGACTCTTTCCTTCGCCGGTAAGTTTGATCTCTTTTCGGGCGTCTTTTCAGGCGTCTTTTCAGCTGTCTTTTCAGCTGTCTTTTTTGGCCACTTTCTGACATGTATTTTTTAGCTCCCGTCCCGCTGCGCCCCCGGGACAGCGAGGAGAGCCTTGCCGCTGAGCTTTTCCGGCTGGCTGAGGAGCAAGGCCGTCCTTGGATGACGGCCACCGCGCGTGACGTCCTGTGGCTCGTCGTGGCCTTCCTCCTGGCCGTAAAGGCCATCAACTTCCTGTTCTGGTGGGCCAAGCGGGAGGTGAAACTGTATGCCAATTGGTCGCAGCGTAGGCTGTAGGAACAATATGCTGACCGTTGATGTAGCTGGATCATCCATGCCGCATGAGGGGCCTGTCTGGCGGTACTTCTCATTCTCTTGGCCGGTGGACCGAAGCAGTATGAAGCTACGAAAGTCCTTTCATGGCCGACGAGGGACAGAAGCCGCTTGTCGCAGAAAGGTGTATGCGTTGAGATGAGAAGCAAGAGGTGCGCTAAAAGAGAGATGTTCAAGGGTGTCTGTTGCAAGAAAGGCAGTCATTGAGCATTTGTGTTGAACGAAAGGCAGAAACGTACGCATCGAAGGAAAGGCATTCGGAATCAGTGATGGTGTACGAGATAGAGTCAAGTGGAGCGGTGTGAGCCGGAATGAAAGGTGAGTCGAGAGGCCCTCGGTGAAATTCAATATGATGGTCATTCTAATAGAAAGCGGCTTGAAGTCGGAGTGGTTCAATGAAATTGAAGTAACTTAACGAAGCCGAGGCGGATTAGAGAAGTCGGGTAACCTCTCTCCTGACAACTACAAACTTTGAGGTATAACCTTGGAATGTCCGTTATATCATCTTTTTGTAGGCTCGCGCCTTCCCTACCATCACTTTTCCTGTAGTCTACAAAACAATTTCGTAGCACACGGATGAACTTCACGTCTATATCATTTCGCAAGTATACTCACCCATCATCACAATGTCTGTTTGAACCGTTTTTGCATCTCTTTTTTCCATCTCTTATGGTGGCTATTGATAAAACGGCATCAAAGGTCTTTTTTGACCCTTACGCTGGCTGGTAAGTTTTGCCTCCTTTTTGACCTCTTCTGAAGCCTCTTGTTTGACATGCTCTCTGGGTGCTATGTCTATGCGCCGCAGGGAGACGAGCAAAATTCACGTTCACATCATTTTGCTGCATCATAGCTATCTTCAAGATGACTTCTTTAAACTTTTTTTTTATTTTTTTTATTGTCTGTTGCCTCGGCCTGTAAGTTCGATCTCTTTTCAGGCGTTTTTTCAAGCGTCTTTTCTGGCCTCTTTCTGACACTCTTTTTTAGACCCAGTGCCGCTCCACCACCGAAGCAAGGAGGACTCTATGCCCGTTGAGCTCCTTCGCCTCGCCAGCGAAAAAGGCCCCAAACTCGCCCTCAAAGTGGGCGGCGTCGTGTTGCTTTACCTTGTTATAAAGAAGATAGAATGCCTTGTTATTTGGTGGGCACAGCTCGAGGTTCAACAGTATGTCACTTGATCCGCCTTCTCTTTCAAGTTGCCAGACTCATTATACGTGTACATACTAACCACGCAAAGAAAATGTATACAGTCTGAGCCCCCAGTTATCAACACTTCCAGCAATGACCGCTGATCCCAACACGGCTCCTGTCATGACTCCAGTCATTGACAAACACTGCAAGGAGAAGCCAAATGCCCTGAAGATTACCAGATTGTCGACCCTTGCGGATGGTTATTCACTCTTCACTCAAGTCCCCATCCGTGAAAAAAAAAGTCCATTGAGTAAGTGCTCGTGTATCTTTTTGGTAATACTCCACAGATCATTGACAGTTGTGCCGAGGTCGAAGGTCACTCATTCTTGACTCGTGTCCCCGTCCGTCGAGAAAAGGTGCATTGAGCAAATGCTGGTGTATCTTTTTGAGAATGCCCCACAAATCATTGACACTTGTGGATGGCTGTTCATTTGCTTCTACGTAATTTGGTGAACTGCTTCACGGTGCAGGAGATTACGGCAAAATGGCCTCTTTTTGCAAATTCTCCTTTTGACCCTTGAGCTGGCTGGTAAGTTGGTCTTATCTTTCGCTTCTGTTTGAACATCTTTCTGAAATGCTTTCTAGAGGCCATTCCAGTTTATGCTCGCGAGGAAGAGAAAATTGGATGAGAGTCGGGTCGGCGAGCTGGTTCGGCTGGTCCAGTAGAAGGGGGACCGCGCAATGGCCCCCATCATGTTGGTCTTTTAGATCATCCTGCGCGGATCAAGCGGTATTTCACTCGTACACTTATACAGGATCTACAGGAACAATATACTGACCTATAATACCATATACTCAGTTGTCAAACAGCAATATAAGGAGCAGGTAATCATCTACCTTCTCGAAAATACTCCTCAAAACTAATACATTTAGGTGGCTTTAGATACGGTTCTATATAATTTGGCCGGGGAACGCGCGATGGCCCCTATCATGTTGATCTTTTAGATCATCCGGCGCGGATCAAGCGGTGTGTCACTGGTCCTCTGTGCAGGATCGACAGGAATAACAGGCTGGCCTATGATGCTACCTATTCAGTCGTTCGCAAGTACTGCAAATAGAAGGTCGTTGTCTACCTTTTGACATCCTCCGCCCTTTGACATATCCATCACTGCACATCATGACTCTCTGGGAATCCATCCGGCTTTCGATCCCACTCTTTGGACTCTCCTTGATTCCTGTGATGTCTCAAGTCGTCGAACAGCTGCAAAGAACGGGTAGTTGTTTACCTTCTCGCAAATGCTGCCAAAATCATCGGCACGCTTGGGGGGATGTATATTCTATTCTACATCCTTTGGAGGATGATTTCCCTTGTCGTGGATGCCTTTTTGAAGCTATCATCGATAAACTCGATGTGGCGCTTTGTATCCTCGTTTCAACTGTTGGATCCTCTATCGGCTTTTTCCTTATCTAGGGCTTCTCTAATATATTATCCTTATATACTGCTGCTTTAGAGAAGCAGCTATTAGTTCTAATATACCACTGCGTATACTACTATCTCTATTTCCCAATCCTCTATTATATATAGTATTCCCTTAGGCATTCCATACCCAGGGGTCTCACACGAGGGGTAGTCTCTATTAGGTAATCTAAGTATTTAAGAGCTATTAGAACTATACGACCCCTAGGTATAGAATACCTAAGGGAATACTATATATAATAGAGGATTGGGAAATAGAGATAGTAGTATATATAGTGGTATATTAGAACTAATAGCTACTTCCCTAAAGAAGCAGTATATAAGGATAATATATAGGTTATAGGTTATATGATTAAAGGAGGCTATATAGGCAGTATATACGGCTCCTATCTAGTCCACAGTCCCCTACGTACCTAGGACGGGTGCTCTACGTACTATGATAGGTGCAATATTTCAGGCATCAGCCTTCTTAGTACTGGGGTCCTGATAGGAAGCCCTATTTTCTATACCCTATGGTTATATGTATTTGATATAGCACTGGAGGGGAGCATATAATTACTGAGACTTATAGACTATAGCTGTATAACTCTTGGCATAGTCCCCGGGGCCGGCGCCGGGTGTCTTGGCACTACTCTTGGCACTACTAGTAACAGCCCTAGATCTATACACTGTACCTTGATTTTTTTCTCTTTTCTGTCTTTCCGACGGTATCCGGGCATACTGTTATTGCTTGGTGCTTTGTCCCTTTATCTTTATGGAGCTATCCATTGTAGTAATTAGATCATCATCAGTAACATCGTCGGCAATATCTTACTCTTGTTGATCACTCCTTTTCTCCGTCATGTAGACACCTAGGTACATCAACTTTTGAATTGCGCTAAACCGGTAAAATCGAAAAGAAAGAGCAAAGGAGGATAATCAGAACACGCGCAAAAAAAACTTTTTCCCCCGAGACAATACTCGATGGGTAAATCATGAGACACGCGATCGCTAATCATATTCAACAAATAATTGACGCTTTATCCGTGCGAGCAGTATCGATCCTCGTCATCGAAATCCCAGTATTGCGGGACGCAATGGGCTCAAGGGTATCATCACCATTCGCAAGACGCTCCTCTCGCTCCCACTCCAAGCGCTCAGCCTCCTTCATGATCTTGAGCTCCTGACAGAACTTGCTGTTCGCTCTGATGCGGTCACCGTAGCGAATGAAAGCAAACGGAATTACAGAGACACCCATACTGAGGAAGGCAATTAGACTGCAAGCCCAAGGCACGCCGAGTCGATTGAACATCGGCTTAGCAGCGAGCGGAAGCAAGGCACCTAGAATGCTTCGTGTGCAGCTTGCGGCGGACTGTGCGCTAGCGGAGAGGGTTTCGTAGGCATCGGTCAGGTAGTTCAGCATAGCCATGAAAATTAACAGATAGCCCATTCCGAAGGGGATGCCGGAGAGGAAGGGTACGACCCAGTGAATGTTTGGCGAGGCTGTCCAGCCTATCCAGAAGAGGGAGATCACGTATAGGGGTCCGCCGACGCAGGCGAGGGGGAGTCTGCGGTATTCCTCGATGAAGGCCCAGCTGGCGTTGCGGGCCTTCGCTCGGGCTAGGTAGCCATCGTACCAGATGAAGACGCCACAGGCAAGCCCGGCGCCGATACCGACTGTTGTACAGAAATTAGAATCTACTTCTTTTTTTGTTGGAGAAATGGCGTATGGACGACAAACTTACTAGGCAGAAACATCAAGCCAGATACACCAGGGCTCATTTTGTAGATACCTGCAGATTTCCGTTAGTGTTTATGTCCAACAGGGTTCTGCATACGCTAGCGGGGAGAGGTCGCCGACCTTGGAAGATAATTGGATATGCCTCAAAGTAGAGGTAGAAGATTGCGTATGCCAGAGCAAGATACAATGAACTCAGCGAAACGATATACTCATGAATAATCATGCGGAATGGTCGCGAGATCGTGATAAGCAGCATTTCTGGCAGATTGCGACTCTGGAGGTCCAATGGCGATACGATGCTTGAATTGCCGGTATCTTTGCGTAGCTTGTGCGCACGGCGCTTCAGAATGACCGGGGCATAGGTTTCAGGCATGGCGATAATCAATGGCAAGGTAGCACCCGAGAGAATGAGTCCGATCCAAAAACACCAACGCCAGCTGACAACTGCAACGAAGCCAGATACCCAAGGTCCAATGATTGGCCCGAGGGTTGTACACTGTTAATAAATTAGTTGTCGAGCCCAGAATCTCTAGTTGGATGTATGCGGCAAGCTTACAGCCATGAAATAAGCCATCAGGCGACCTCGCAGTGTGGGATCGTCATGTACATCAGCAAACAACCCACCGACAGTGGCGATAGGCGCCGACGCAACCATGCCATTGAATAGTCGGAATACAAGCAGAGATGCATACGAATTTGCGACAGCGCACGCTAGCGTGAATATCATGAATAAGACAAAAGAGATGAGCAAAGGGCCCTTCCGGCCAAAATACTCGGAGCTAGGACCCCACAGCAATGGCCCTAAAATGTATCCGACGAGAAAGACGGAGATGGGCAAGACGAGAGCGGTTTCGTTGGTGATGTTGAACTCTTCGGCAATTTGGGGGATGGCGTTGCTACAAATCGACGAGCCGATAGTGCTGTTCATGACTTGCATGACACCAGCTGAGAGAACAAGGAACTTCCTCCTCTATTAGGCACATCAGCAATCTTTTCTTCTCCTTGTTTTGTATTGGACAATATCCCACATACCGTTCTCCAGTTGACGGGGTTGTCTGGGTCATTAAGCCCGAATGAAACAATCGTTTTGGAAGCCACTCGGCGGAATCTAGAGTATGAAGGGTTTCCATAACGTTCTTGGATGGGCTCATGATCGACTTCTGAGTCTTGGTCTTCGGAGTCATGAGAGTCATGGGAGTCATGGGAGTGTTGTGACTCGTGAGAGGAAGCCACTACGTGCTCTATACAACAATTTCAGCATTTTGAAATTCTAAGATACAATGTAGAAAGCACCAACAAAGAGTATAGGCGACTGACCTCTTGCTGACATGACCTTTTGCACATTTTCCTTGCCAGCCACATGGTCCGACATCTTGATGGCCTTGGCTTATCAACAAAGCGAAAGTTTGGACGCTAAATGAAGATCCAGGCGGATTGCAAGAATTATAAAAAGTTCAGAAGTTGAAAAAGCCACCCCCACAGAGTATTAGTGGATGTTTGACTCAGACAAGTAAAAGGTGTTTAATGTGGGTTCAACTCCACATTCATAGAGCAATCTCTGTGGTACGCCCTAACTTTGACAAATCGAGCTGAGACGCGAGGGTGGTTTAGAAAATACAGAAAAGACAAGCCTTCCCTGTCAAATTAGGTATTTGGTGGTGTTGATCAGTAGACCTAGATCGGGTAGGACGGCTTTTCTCCAACTGTTTAGGCAAAAAGGCAGGAGCCAAGAAGTTGCGGATTGCTAAAGTGGCAACTAGAATTGTGACTGTCTGAAATATCAAATGGGACCTCGCATAGAAGACCGATTTTCACACCCTTCACACGCGTCGCTTGCGAAACTACAAAGGGAATCCAAACCCACCCATGTAAATCTTGAAGCAAATAGCTCGACCGCATGCGTCTAGTGATTTGGACATTGAATCTTCTGTATGTAATGAAGCGTGAAGATCCTGCCGATCAATTGATTGGTCTTACATTAGCAATTGCGTCAGATAGTTTTCCCTGTCAAGGAAGTGAGGACCAATGGGGCAAGCTCGATTTTGGGCTGACGAGCACTTGTTCCCATGATATGCGTAATTTGCATAGACCCGATCGAGCTACGGCTGATTTTTAGTTTGAAGAAGCTCCCTGTAGCGGGGACGCCAATGCTGGGGTCAACGGGGAACGGGCTATTCCGCACAGCGTGGGCTCGACGTATTTTGTTCTCGGAGAGAGGTTCCGAAAGCGCTCCACATAGAGTAAACGAACAATGCCGGTTCAGGGGTATGCCGTCTTTTTCGATCTGTGCTCCGTATGCCTTGGGCATCGAAGGAGTAATTTCTTGTGGGTTGGGCTGAGGTCGGCGAAGTTAAAAGTGTCATTTCCGGTTGCGTGCTGGTGTGTTCGGCGACAAAGCCGATGTGCCTTGACCGCCCAAAAATCATCAGATGAAGAATCTGGAAGTGACTCCTGCAGCCAAAAGCCTCTCGGGTAATATTCTTTCGAAAGAAACTGAGTACTGTGCATGAGTGGCTGTCATTATTTTGTCAAGGGGAGTATTGGGGTTAATGCCTGACGTAACTGTCACCATATTCTGCCTCAGGCACCAAACCGTTGTACACAGGCAATAAGGCATCACCAGGACCCACAAGTATCCAAGATTTGTATATTCACAGGGGAGCTAAATGTATGCAATATCATCGCTTAGATGCGTCTTCGACTTTCAGGAAGCACAAGTATCTACAGCTGACCACAAGGATATTCTGTCACATAAGCTCTTATAGGCTGTATATGTCCTCGTTGCTAAAATGAAAAGACTAGTTAGTATTTCAATGCCTGATTTCTGAACATAACTGTTCTTGATGTATGAAACTTACAAAGGCCGATTGATTCGATTCCTCCCCTCCGCTTGAGAATTAACCCAGACACTGACACTCATGGTGGCCACTGAGAAAACTCCATAGCCGCAGTTATTAATGAGTACCGTCTCATTTTGCCAGCCAAGAATATCTGTCCACAACTCCCCGGCATGTCTGTGACCAACAAACATGCGCTTGGAGGATGCGCCACCGTTGCTAAGGATACAGGCAAGACCGAACGGGTGTTTATAGTTCCCGTAGCGCACGAATCCTGTATAATCGTAAGAACAAGCAATCTACATCCAAAAAAGTGATACTGACCAATGCAGTTCCGTCTATTGAAGTAGTCCCGTTGTTTCCCGTGTGCATATAACTTTCGCGCACGCGTGAGTATGGGAAGCATTTCGCTGCATGTCCCAGGAGGCTCTGATCCACAATTGATTCCATAGAAGTCTCCGTAGAAAATGCATGGCTGCCCTTGGCTTCGGAGGAGGATTAAAGAGTATGCAAGAGGTTTGAAAAATGGTGCAATGATAGTCTGCTGGGGTATTTAGTTATTATCCACGCCCTGGGATGTATAATGCTAAAGCTTTGGTCTATCTCACCTCTAATGAATGTCCATCCTGCTAGAGGATTGTAAGCTCCATCATATCCTCACAGGGCTTCAACATACCGTGTCATGATTTCCAACAAAAGTCTGACGTGGTAGTGATGGTTAGTGGGAGTCCTTTCTACCAAAATAATTGGGTCTTACTACTGCATGCGACGGCATCTGTTCTACCAACGTGCCTTTGAAAATATTCCGTAGATCACCGCCTGCGATCTTCGAGATAGCTGCAAACTGGCCCAAAAGTGGCACATCGAACAACGAGACCCCATAATCCATTAACTTGAGATACCCCAGAAGTAGACCCACCTCTCCTCTCCAGTACTCCGCAACTAAGAAATAATCAGCGCCAACAGTATTGCGCAAATGTGTCAAATTCTTTTTGGAAAGACGCGGAATAATGCTTTACTGCGTCGATTCGCATTCCACTGATTGGTAATTCGGTGCCAATCCACCTCCCCATTTCATTATATCAGCTCGAACTTCCGGGTGGGAATGGTCGAGATCGGCGAACATTAGGTAGTCGTAGTTTCCATGCTCATCACTCACGTCCTTCGCCCAGTCTTTGTTCTGTCCCAGTATCTTGTATATTGCATTCTGCTGGCTCGCATCGTCCCAGCCCACACCAGTAAAGTGTTGCCAGTGATACTTCATGGAGCTGTATTTCTCCCCACGTCCCGGAAAGTCAAACCCAACCCAACCATCGATAGTCAGCGGTCGAGATATTTCAGTGTTCCGACCTGCAAGATTGTTGACCTCCATAAGCGCTCTCATCTTCCATTTGTCAGCAGGAATAGAAATCACCTTCTGGGTCCATCTTGACGACTAAGAAATTCTCGGTTGAATCTGCCCCAGCCTTCTGGTTTAAAACAGCATCCCAGTAAATCCCAATATCCATATCCTTTGCAGCCCATACCAATCTCTGGAGGTCCTCCTTTGGACCCCATCGCGTTGCTCTGGTGCCCTTCTGGTCGAATTCCCCAAGATCATATAGATCGTGAATATCATACCCAATTCCAGATGGGTCCATCCCTTTACACCCGGGAGGAATCCAGATATTATCAACTCCGATGTCTTTCAGATCGGGGATTGCCTTACGGAGGCGCTGCCAATGGCGTTGATCGGCTGGCACGTGCCATTCAAACCCCTGCATCATAAGTGTGTTTTCTGGGGGATACCATAGCTGCTTTTTATCAAGTCCGACAAAAGAGACTGGAGAACCTTCGATCCCTCGCCACTTCTTAGGCCTTCTCCGAATCTTCAAAAAGCAGCTTAGGAATGATAGCATTTGACCGAGACTTGCCTCTATTGCTGAAAGTATGGTATTGATGTAATTTGGCCTGGTTCTTCTCCGCAGCGTAGGGAGAAGGACAAGAACATCTAGCAATCCTCGAATATATCATGTTCCCCAAAAGTCAGGGCTGGGCGAAACTGATGAGTGACACTGACACACCCTGCTGTGCGATATACGTTGGCTGGTAGAAATTGAAACGCTTACTCGTTGGGTTGAACGTCAAACGCCGCTCTGTGGAAGATCACACTAATGTTTAAACTAACCTCTTCCTCTTCCTGGTTCGTCGGAGTCTTCTTATGGCACATGTCAACTATCCTAGTCTTAGAATATCCACGCCAATGTTTAATGCGATGAATCAGTGTTATGCATAGTTGACGTGTAGCTACAATAGATATATACAACATACTGGGTAGGGCAAGGAAGATATCGGATCATGGGAACCAGGAGTGGCGGTCTGAGAGTAATGAAGCGCCTAAAGCGCCCAACCGTGGAAGGTGCAAGATTGGAGCTCAGAATAAATGTCTTGGCGGTGTTGCGATAACAGTCACAAATGGTCAATACGCGTGTCCACAGTGGAGATGTGGCTCGTGCGAGGCAACAACGTGGGGGTCACCTTTGCGGCCAACCGACCCTTTTCATTATTTTATGCATTCACAGTCGTGGAGATCTTGTTCTATTGATAAAGCTGTGGATGCTCCATGTTTCACGTCTCACTTCTCAATTTCCTCCATCATCCGCTTCGCGTCCCATGCTGCCGTTCTCACTTCTTCTCCAGTCTCCTCCAGCTCGATCGTAGCCAACTCCCCAAATCTTTCCTTCCAGAACTGCCACCTCTCCTTAGAAAACCCACATTGGCCTTTCCAGAGAGGACCTCCTTTCCCCAGAGCGCCATCAAACCCTTCATTCCATTGGTAGATGTCTGCCCCGAGAATACTGATCCACGCAGCGGCAGCCCGAATCAATGCTTCTATTTTCCCCGGAGAGTATTCGTGTGCTGGTGTTTCCAGTGCCTCGCGCAGGGTAATCAATGCAAACCAGGAGTATGCAAAGACAGGTTCTTTGGTTGCCATCAAGCGTGCGGTGAATTTATCCCGGTTGATAATTTGCGAAATTGCTTTTTGACGGGCGTCAGGAGGTCCATCAGGTACGCTTGCATTCCACTCGTCCCGGAACTGCCATCCTAGCATCGGTAGGTCTTTCCAGACTTGCATATCGTAGAGCACGATGGAGTCCCCATTTGATTTTTTTGCGTTTGGGAGTTTTGATAGTTGAACTAGCACATTGACGAGTTTATCATGGTGCTCGGGGAAATTGTATGCACACTTGAAGATCAAGCTCCATAGGCTGGTAATTCCCCCCTCGAGGTCTGAGTCGTCTGCCAAGGAGATTGAAGCCAGATGTTCTGCGGCGTGCTGTGCAGATACACTATCGCTGAATAGGTCTTGTAGGATAGCAAGCCGAGAGGCAAAAATATCATCTGTAATGGCGACCATTTTAGGAGATGGGTCAGGAATATGTTTTCGTATATGATGAAGGGCAGTAGTGGTGTTTTAATATTCTGTTTCAAATTCGAGGGGCTAATTGTCTCTTATCATCTGTGAATATGGCCTCGTGGCCTTTATCTGCTGATCTCATTGGTTCTAATCTCCAAGGTTGCATAGCTTTTGACCTAATGTGTTAGTTGATAGACCTGGGCACGCTAATCCACGGCCCTACAGCAGGATTTAAGGCCATCACAACATACGGCTTTGAAGTGCCTTGATTTTTTTATGAGAAATATTTATGCTGTCATACTTGTATATATTTCACAACCTTTCTTTTATCAAATCAATAATTTCGATACCTTCAATCATAGTTCAGATGACATATTTAAATAACTTGTAGAAGAATAATTCTCAATATGCCCATATAACTAACTCATAGCTCCAATTGTATACTCCAATGGCCGCAATGGCCGCAAATATCCACCCTGACATGTCAGCTAATACGTGTCCACAGTGACGTAGAGGGCTGTGGCTGGTAACAACATTGAATCTTCCACTTCTGATAGCGCAATGAGTTCGATATATGTACGGAGTAGCGTGCAGTGCAATATGCCCTATACAGACAGTTCAATTCCATCACCACAAGCCTTGAATAAATTCAACATCCAGATCTAACTGGAAAATGTGCCTCCTATCAAATCCCTTTGCGGTTCCTCATCCCGCCTATTCCCGGCAACGAGCTCCAACCACCGAAATCCACGTCTAATAATAGCCAATATCAACCTCAAGTTGGGGTTTGATAGTCATTAGGATCAATATAACAACATGCATAACATTCACCCATCCATGTAGAAAAGATTAGCAAGACGCTATACGGTTGACCGGGCGATCGGAGTTGAGTGTGTGGCTGCCGAGCGGCTACCGCATTGGCCGCGAAAAGTTTTCGGGTTCGGCGGTCCCATCCCTTTGAAATCCTTTCTTCTTCTCTTCCTCTCTCTAAGGCTTCAATTGACCATTCCATCCTCTCCTCTCTTTGACGTTTTTCTTTACGTTATCTCACATTAATCAAAATGGCTGCCACTGTCGCCCCCAAGGAGGAGATGAGCGCTCTCAACCTCGTATGTTGCGAACCCTGAAAATACCAAGCTTTAACTGACCCGATTCTTGCTTGCAGTACTCCCGCTTCGCCTTCGCTGGTGCCGTCTGCTGCGCTGTCACCCACGGTGCTGCCACTCCTCTCGATGTGTAAGTTTTTGAATCTGTCGCCGGCGCGCGAAGAAGAATTTCCGCTCATTTCCGGTCCTTTACAGCGTCAAGACCCGTATCCAGCTTGACCCCGTCACCTACAACCGCGGTATGCTCGGTGGCTTCAAGCAGGTCATCCAGAACGAGGGTGCTGGCGCTCTCCTGACTGGATTCGGTCCCACCGCCGCCGGTTACTTCCTCCAGGGTGCCTTCAAGTTCGGTGGATACGAGTTCTTCAAGCAGCAGTCCATCAACGCCGTCGGCTACGAGACTGCCAAGAACAACCGCACCGCCGTCTACCTCGCCTCTGCCGGTGCCGCTGAGTTCATTGCTGATATCGCCCTGTGCCCTCTCGAGGCTACCCGTATCCGTCTTGTCTCCCAGCCTACCTTCGCCAGCGGTCTTCTCCCTGCCATGACCCGCATCCTGAAGGAGGAGGGCATCGGTGCCTTCTACTCTGGATTCGGACCCATCCTGTTCAAGCAGTAAGTTTTTTTTTTTTCTCTCCCCGCTTCGGGTATATATCCGATGTAATTCCCACTAACTCGATTTCCCACAGGGTCCCCTACACCATGGCCAAGTTCGTCGTCTTCGAGAAGGTCTCCGAGGCCGTCCTCTCCCGCGTCAACAAGGAGACTCTCTCCGACGGTGCCAAGACCGGTATCAACCTCGGCTCCGGTCTCGTCGCTGGTCTCGCCGCCGCCATCATCTCCCAGCCCGCCGACACCATGCTCTCCAAGATCAACAAGACCCCCGGTGCTCCTGGTGAGGGTACCGTTACCCGTCTGATCAAGATCGCCAAGGAGCTCGGTATCCGTGGCTCTTACGGTGGTATTGGTGCCCGTCTCTTCATGGTCGGCTCCATCACCGCCGGTCAGTTCGCTATCTACGGTGACATCAAGCGCATGCTCGGTGCCACTGGCGGTGTTGAGATCGGTAAATAGACGATTCGAGTCTAATATGCTCGGGAGGATTGTAGAGACTACCCTTAGAATTCCTTTTGTTTTACCTTGTCCATCCCCCACACACGATGTACAATATTTTGTCTCAGTTTCCTTTCAAGAACAAGCTCGCTTTTGTTATATTTACAATAATTTCCATTTTCTCGTGAAGTAAAAGTCTTGGTAGTGATTCTTGGGTTATTGACGTCTCGATTGCGAACCGATTGGATTTCAAGAGGCCGATTGAGAGATGGCGGAAGTTTGCGCCGAGACTAGTAATGAGAATCCAGTGCGCCATATCAGATTTCCTACGGTCAATTTCAACCGCCTGTCCACTGCGCTGGGCTATTGACCTCCCCGGCGTGATCACGAAGGAAGAATTGTCCGCAGGCTAGAGCCTTTCTTCGGAATGAGGATCGGAAAGTGTTTGACTAAATTAACTTAAATCTCTAGGACTGTCCGAATATACTACGGAGTATACATCTCGAATCTCCTTGATAAGATGTTTCGCACCTATAGATATCAAGTTGACGGAGGATAAGCAGCTCCGACTCCAGCCGTGCGGAGGGCAGAGCGGGGTTGATAAGTATCTCCAATTGATCTATAAATTGGTGGACACCCATTTATCAAAAGTGTAAACTACTTCATCTGCTTCCATCTGAAACCCACGCAACTATGTCACAGGAACAATACGAGACTTTCAAGCTTGGAGATTGGGAGCTGCAGAGCGGAGAGAAGATCGAGGATGCTCATATCGCATACAAGACATTCGGCGATCCCAAGTCTCCAGCAATCGTCTATCCAACTTGGTTTTCCGGAGGTATATCCAGGTACGATCCTATCTTCTCCCCAACACTGCTGATACTGCCTCCAGCTCTTTCCGATAACTTCTGGTTGATCGGGGACGACAAGCTCCTAAACCCGAACAATTTCTTCATCATAGTGCCAGCCCTGTTCGGAAACGGCCAGTCTTCCTCACCATCCAACCAGCCGAGCCCTGGGCCATTCCCAAAGGTGTCATTTTACGACAATGTACGGGCGCAGTATGAGCTTGTTACCAAACACCTAGGCATCAAGCATTTGCGCGCCGTTCTTGGCTGGTCTATGGGAGGGGCCCAGGCATTCCAGTGGGCAACGCAGTATCCTGACTTCATGGATCTTGTGGTTCCCTTTTGCACGGCTGCGAAAA